AAGACATTTAGTTCGTGAAGAACAAAATTTCATTTCTAAGAGAGGCGAAGTGACCTTTGCGCAAATTCTTAATTCTGGTTTCGACAATCTTTCATTGTGAAAAAGGCACACAATTCTTGATTTCGACTACTGATTCATTATTCTAACATTCTTACCAAAAGCATATGTTTATTTGCCTTAGAGTCTTGATTTTGTTATGTATTAAGAATTATGCTATGTGGGCGTGAATTATAGCACCCATTCGGTTATAATAACGTATTGATGGTATTGGGAAAAAACTGAGTTTGAATATTGAAGATGACGTGTCATGATACGTGGACTGGTCAAAAGGTCAAAACACAATAAATAGCCAAGAGGCACGGGAGACAACAGATATGGGGAGAAGAAAACAACATAGGTGTGGACCGTTACTCAAATAGGTACGAGTCTCGTACCTATTCGAGTCATTTAAAGACCGAAGATCGGAAAAAGTTGAAGATACGAATCTGACGACGTAAAAGAGTCTAAATACAACATTAAATATCAAATACGTTAGAAAATTTGAATTAAATAGAAATGATTGTGTAACGTTTCTTTTAATGTCATTTATTGCTCATAATTGCCTCATTAAGACAAAGACATTACATCTTCTCCTAGAATCAACTATAAAAGGAGAAGGACTCAACATCTTGTAGACACACGAAATATTATTGAGATTACATGGAAATACAAAACTACTTATTACTTTATTATTCTCAAAAGTCTTCTATTATTTTCGTCTCCAGATTATCAATAACCCGAATTTCTCTTTATTTCTAGCTTTGACTAAAGACTCAGATATTTGGTTAAACAAATTAGTTCCGTTACCGGGAATCTGATAATCTTTTCTTTTAAGCTACATTCTATCCATTGTTATCATCATGTCAAACAACAATAACAACAACAACAATAACAGTGAAAACACCTTAGGAAACCATGAAAATCAAATCCATCCAAATCAAGGAGATTTACATAACATTGACGTGGTTCCCTCCCCTCAAAATTCACCACGTCAATCTCGTGAAGGCACTCCTACTCCTGAATCTCGTGCTGATCAACAAGAGCAATCTGAACATTTTGAAGGGGCAGATGAAGCTTTACAAAAATTAATTGATGCACGGGTTAGCAAAGCTCTTCAGGCTCTAGTTAGTCGATTGCCTGTTGCACCACCCACACCTACACCTAATAATAATACATTGGAGAATCCTCGTTCGGGCCATGTTAATTCTGGAAATGGAGGAACCCCCAGTGAACTACAAGAAGGAGAACCAGGCAATTCAAATAATTCTCATTTGCAAAATTTAGCACTAACTTTGCAGAAACAGCTTAAGGAACAGAATGAGTGCATCGAGCAAATCCCTGGAGTTCCCCTTGTAATCAAAGGAGTGGATGTGGATAAATACTCACAACAACCTTGGAAACCAAGTGTTGCTCCCCTTCCAATCCCTAAAAAGTTTAAAATGCCTGATATCTCAAAATATGATGGCACAACAGACCCACGTGATCACGTAACTGCATTTACTACAGGTGTAAAAGGCAACGACTTGACCAAGCAAGAAATTGAATCAGTATTG